CAAGCATTGTTAATTTCCTACCACTTTGCTTGTTACTCTGTATTGTCTGTACTGTTCTTTTGCTATTTTGTAAAAGGTTGTCTGTCTGTTAATGTATTCCTCCTTTTATTTAAAAAAAAAAAAAAACTACAAAGAGAAAATCATGATTACATGGATCTCAAAACTACAGACCTTGGAAAGAAACCACTCATCACTGACAGAAGAAAAGTTTCTTTGTTTGCCTCACATTTTAAAAAAAAATTTTCTCTTTGCATCATTTTTATTTTTCCATCCTCAGAATTCTAGCATAAGCAACTGTAATTTTTCTCCCATTTTTTTCCCTTCTTTTACTTCTGTTTAGCTTTTTCTCTTCAACATCTCTTTCTCTTTTTTCTTCTCTTGCATCTCCCGCTTTTGTTGTTTATCTTTTGTATTCTTTTTCTTGCTCATTCTTTGCACCCATCATTCTGCATCACTATTAATTTCATTTCAGTCCTCAACTAGATTCCCTATCTTACTCTGCTCTCCTCCCTCTCCTACCTCATTCATTTTTCAAAGCTTTCTTTTTCCTCTGCTTCCTCACTCCATCCACAATGATTAGTATCACTATTAAGCTTTATGAATATCTAGATAGTTAACTTAATGCTATTAGTGTTGAATATTGGGCATTTTTTAGGAGAGACAAAGTTGATCCTTTCAGTAGATATTTAGTTTATGTCAATTGAAGGTCAATATTTGCTTTGTCTTAGGATTTATACTATATCTATAAATCTGTTTTCTATGGACAAGTGTGGTACTTTAGTGGTCCTTAGAGTTTGTCAATATTCAGTGTTGTGTTGGATTTTCTAAGAGATGTGGATTTTATAATTCTAGCCAAGGTGACATACCTGTTTCTTGAGATGTCAAATTCTGGATAGCCTTGGGGTCATTAATAATGTTGTGGCCCATGCCGGCAAATTGTGTATTGGGTCAAATATGCCAAGACCTCCAATTTTAAGGACACAGAGGTGGCTGGAACCTGTTATTGAGACAAACGTAAGTAGTTAGCCACACCCAGAGGAATCAAATGAAGAGAAGACATTAACTAAAGAGGTCTCCACACTAGAAACAAAGCTTTATATTAAAAGCACATCATGCACCTCAATACAGTGAACAAACAAACACACACAATCAACAGAACTCAAGCCCATACAATGCCTCTACAAACTCCCCATTCCCCCAAAGTTGATCCATGGGACATCAAAGGGGAGGAAACCAAAATCCAGAGGCCGCCAGGATTTGAAATGGATTCAGGGGACATGAGGAAACAGATCAATATGGCTTTTGGCAAGATCACACAACATATAAGTAGTAAGATATCGGGCCCAATAAATTGATCAGCAAAACTTTTCAAGCGGTATGCACTTAAGTTTTTTCTGGATTGACTCCTTTGGCTACAGTAATCAACACAACACTTAATGGTCTTTAGAGTGAAATTGCTCTTCTTCTTCCTGACTTTGGAGATTTGCCTTTCACCACTGAATACAGTGTAAGTAGTAGCTTCGCCACAAAAGATCTTTGCCACACTTAGGAAGTTATTTTTTATCTTTAAGTTCTAAACCTTGGGGGATTTTTATATATACTATAGGTATTTTTTTCTACTTTCATTGTATTAGAATCACAAACACACTTTGTATGATGTGAATCATTTAAAAAGTTACAACACCTGTTTTATAGGTAGAATATGGTCTTTCTTTATAAATACCATAGTCTCTTGAGACTTTAACAGAACCGCATTTCATTCCAATCATTATGTTTTGAAACTCTGGGTCATGGTTAGTGTTTTTGTGTTGTTTTATTTTTGTCTATGTTGTTACTATTTTGTTATTGCTTTTTTATTCTCTTTAAAATAA